TCAGTAGAAACACTCCATTCTTCATTCTTCACGCATGGTGTGTTGGTAGGGCTCCAGGGCTGGAGCGATAAGATTCCTTAGTCAGCAGTTTGTTTCTCCAGATCTGGTCCAGTCGAGCATCTCGTAGTGGGACAACAAGAGCAGTTTCACGATCACTGCTGGGTTCAAGCTAAAAGTCCGATCACCCTTCTGACAGGTGGACATGGCAACTGTCTCTCTTTGAACATCAGGCGACCTGTGACTGTGCCCCTCCTTTACGCTTCCCCATACTACCCTTGCTCCGCTCCGATCGACCCTCCCACTAAAACAAGCGACCTCAATGCAGCAATCCGATACTCAGAACACCTGCGATAGATGATAGCAAGCCAGCAAGGCTAGATGGAGCTCTATGGCTTCCGGGCACAACTCAGCATACTCCGCGTCGACTCAGCATCGTGCACTGGGTGATGGACGCTCCTCCCTCAGTCAAGATGGCGGCTCCGCCGATGGGAGCTGGCAGGATGGTACATCACGAATTGGGAGGAACAGGCGATCCGAGTCTGGAGGGAGCAGCAACATGGGCGGGCGGGGAGGATCATTTGTGCCCTCATTAGCTCCCTCGTTGGCACCCTCCCTCGGTCGACCAGGTAGCTTCAGCGCGGAGCTCAAAAGCACGACTTCACGCAGTGTCACACCCCGGGCGGACGGCCAATACAACAGACGTGCCAGCAGATCGATCGACGAGGAGGATTTTCACACAACCGAGCAGCGACAGGCTTTCCTCCGAGACAGGATCGCGAAGGAAATGAAGATCAAGAGCGGAACCGAGAATATGCTGGAGGCACTGCTAGCGAAACCACCCAAGCAAACCAAAGAGCAGCGTCTCAAGGTTGAGTCAGAATTGAGCTCATCGAACCGCAAGCTGGTCGAATTGCAGCATGAGCTGGAAGAAGAAATATTACGTGCGCAGGCGCCGACCTCGACTCCTCCACGCAGCAGCCGCCTCTCGAGCCTTTTTCGGGCTAGCCCCATGCGCTCGCCATCTCGAAACAAGGACACCATTGGCTCGGCCAACGGAGACGGGGAAGAAAATGGTGACGGTGACGTGGAGTCGCCAACCTATGTCCTCTCGGAAACGCTGCAGGCGTTGGAGATAGAGGGAATGTCTCCTGATTTCTATGTCGAGCGCGCCAACAGCTTGGTTGAATTGTTCAAACGACATCCCACATTGAAGTATGACCTTGCATGGCCTGTTTTTGGGCTACGGGTTCAGGTCATGCTTTTGAGTGACAGCAAAGAGGTGGTAGCTGCGGGTTATCGATTAACACGCTATGCCATCGCTGATCGCAAATCCCTACAAATCATCAGAACGCTCCACACCGATGAGCTTGTGATATTGTCCTTGGTAAAAGAAACCAAGGCAAGCATCGAAAGGGAACAGGCATTGAAGTTCGTGAGAGGCTTCCTGGATGTTAAAGACGGTGTCCGAGAGATATCACGCGCCGTTGTGCGGACCATCGTTGCTGTTGCTGAACATCATGAAGATCGTCTTCGGAACATTTCAATCATGACTCTTGCCGAAATATTGGTTAAAGACCCCGAACTGGTTGCTTCTGCCGGCGGATTCGCTGCTCTGCATGATGCGCTTGCAGAAGGGACGTTCGGCGCCTCAGAGTCTCTGATATCAAGCTTTCTACATGTTGTGGACACCCCCCGGAGTCGAAAGTTTCTCCAGGGATCTGAACTTGAAGCCGTCCTTACGCCTTTCACGGATTCATTATCCGACACACTACGCAATGGGCGATTGAAGTCTGCAGCGCGGGCAATTTCTGCGATGCTAAAGACTTGGCCGGGGCTGGTTATTCTTGCAAGACATGACTCACAACCACTACGTTCTCTCCTTGATTCGCTTCATTACAATGACCCCATAGCCCGAGACCTGATTATGGAGCTATTATTTGACGCTCTGCGAATAAAGCCTCCCTCCTGGTCGTCATCCTTCCTTGCGGGCAGACGACTCACAACTTATGGCAGAGTCTCAAATCTACGCTCTGACCTTGAAACATCAAGAGCCAGCCGCGCTTTCAACGATACTAATAGCAACAGATTCGATCTGACAGCTCATTTCTCTACTCTCATCTTGGCCGGCTTGGTCGAGGCAGGGCTCCCAAAGGTATGCATTCTTTTTCTAGGTCTGGTTTAGTAAAGAGCTGACTAAATGCAGGTTCTCTCCGATGTCATTGAGGACGAAACGGACTTGTCCCTCAGACGTAAAGCAACTCTGCTATTAACGGAGGTTCTCAAGCTCGCCCATCATTCCTTACCCCAAGCCGTCAGCGCAAGACTTCAAGTCCTTCCACACCTAATCCCACCCGCCGTTGATTTTGAAACTGAGAATCACGACCTTTCAACCGCAACTATATTCCAAATCGATAGCATTAATCGGACATTGGCACGTTCTGGTGGATATCCCAGTGGGCAGGGCCGATACAACATGGAGACTGATTTATCGGGATCGCTGTTTCCCATTGAGCAGGGGAAAGACAAGATGAGTCCTTCCATGGACGAGACCCAGTTCCGCAATGCCATTCTGGAAACCCATGTCCTGAACACCGTCAACTTCAATAAGTGGAAATGGGATATTATTCACCGGCTAGTGGAGGGTCCTCTCACAAACCCCAAAAGAATGGACGAGGCAATCAAAGGCTCTAAATTTATGAAGCGTCTCATTGGATTTTACAGGCCTTTCAAATATCGCTTTGCTCTGGTTTCAAACACCAAGGCAAACCAACGATATGTCCGAACTGGCTGTGTTCTCATGCGCACTCTCGTTGCGACCCCCGAGGGTACCAAGTATTTGGCCGAGAACAAATTCCTTCGTCAAGTTGCAGAATGTCTGGCCCAGCTGGATCGTATGAGTGGGCTAACGTCTGCATCCCCGCTTTTCTCCAAAGACCAGATGGCCAATACTCTAAGTGGAGGCTACTTTGCGATGCTAGGATCATTGAGTGGCGATGCCAACGGGCTCCTTATGATGGAGCGATGGCACATGCTCAACATGTTTTACCACATCATTGAGCTGCGAGATCGGAATGATCTTATTCAGACTTTGTTAGGGAACATGGATTACAGCCGCGAAAGCCATCTCCGGGTTATGCTTTCAAAGGCCCTGACAATTGGTTCCAAGGAAATCCGGATCTTTGCAACAAGACTCCTTCGCAAATATGCAGTTGGGGATGTAACCATTTCGCCCCACGTGGCGATCGGCAATGCAGAATGGGTGGTCAAACTTCTTGTCACCCAATTGTACGATCCCGAGGTCACGGTCTGTCAGGTTGCCGTGAAAATCCTAGAAGAGGCATGCAATCAAAGGGATTATCTCGAGTTCGTGGTCAAATGTCGACCTTCTCTGGATCATCTGGGTGAAATTGGTGCACCCCTACTTCTCCGGTTCCTATCGACTTCTGTGGGATATCACTATCTGGATGGCCTCGATTATATCACTCAAGAGATGGACGACTGGTTCCTTGGTCGTAACGATAGCTATGTTGGACTTGTTGAGGCTGCTCTTTCCCGAGCTTACGTCGAGCAACCGCGGCGTGGCAGCCTTGTCCCCGAGGATTTGGTAGACCTCCAGGATATTGGGCTGGTGCCACCGCATTTCTACCGAGAACTTGCACGAACTGCCGAGGGGTGTAAGCTGCTGGAGCAGTCAGGTCACTTCAATGAGTTTGCTTGGACCATTCGTGATTTCAGGCTGGATGAGGAAGATAATGAAATGCTTCTCAAAGCTAAAGGATGTCTCTGGGCTGTCGGTAATGTCGGCTCAATGGAGCTTGGCGCACCATTCTTGGATGCTGAAATCATCCAATGCATTGTGCAGATAGCAACCAGTGCAGGAGTTCTCACTATGCGAGGCACTGCTTTCTTCGTTTTGGGGTTGATATCTCGCAGTCGACACGGACTTCAAGTCCTGCGGGGTTTGGGCTGGGATTCCGGTGTTGACCAAAAGGGGGATTCACTGGGACTTTGCCTCCCTACAGATTTCCGAAAACTATTTTTGGTGAGTATCATCCGTTCGTTCGCTGTCGTCTCATTATGCTCATCCATTTAGATTTCCTTCCCTGGCTTTGATCATAGATCGAAGCGAACTCCCAAGGAGAAACTCAAGGAAGCCACCACCGACACCGATCCCGCCAATCAACGGATTTTGAAGTTGATCGTTGATATGGGAAACACCGTGCTCTCCAAACGAGCTGCTTCTGATCTCCACATGTAAGACCCCCAGTTTTCATTCTGCGACTTCTCACATTTGCTCACAATTCTCAACCACAGCCTGAAGTCCAAACAACCCGAGCGTTTCCACCAAGTCCACCTCTTCCGCAAGACCTTATGCATCCTGGAGAGTCATCACTACAGACTCCCAGCTCAACGTTTCGCCTTGGACTTATTCGACAAGAGCGTCATGCGACGAATCGTCCTCGACGAAGATTCCGACTCAGAATCGGACTCGTCAACTACTTCCCAGTCAGAATAAACATCCTGATCATTTCCTTTCATTTGAATTTTCCTGTCCTGCCAATATACCCTGCAAGACGTCTGATCGGGTGCTTGGCTTTTTGTATTCTGAGCGACGATTTACGCATGTTCAATCTATGACTTCCAAAAATACTAGATCTCAAACTTGGCCGGCGTAGATCAGTGGGATTTGATCTCGACCCAGCAAACTAGTGTTATCCTGGTCTCCCTTGTATTCTCTCTGGCCTTAAACACTGATGCTTAGTGTGTCACGTTCTGTTCTTCTACCTAGGTAAGTAGATACTGGGCTTGACCTGTCGGACTTTACGGCCTCTTTGGAAAGACAGTTAGCTACGTCGTTGCCAGGATCATCGCAGTGTCTGGGGTTCTACTGAAGTCGCAAAATATCCCTCGAGTCCTAGATGAGAATGAAGAGTAGGGGAGCAATGACGGGGAATCAAATCCTTGTATTAACAATAGTCTAACTTCATAGTCTGCTCCTATCAAAAGGCCCAGCGCTCCAGCCATCTTTCAACAAGCTGACCATCGAGAGGCTGCAGATTGGCCAAGCTACTACTCTTAAGCACCGACCGGTCTGTAGCAAGGTGTACCTTCCGGTTCTCCAACTGCCCCATATCCACATAGAATCCGGTCAGCTTAATTCCCGGGTATTTATCAATATTTTCGGAGACTGGGCCGATTTGCATCAATGCATTAAGCCAGTCGTTGTATTCGACTACCTCCATGGCACATCCCTGCTTGTGATAAAAATCAGAGACGGTGTGCACCAGATCATTCCACTGGACAATCTGCGGATTGACAATATTAAAGCAGTCGAATAATTGATTCTTGGTCAAGTCGTCCTCAAGTCGGGATAAGGTGAGTTCTATCACAGATTGAGCTGCAACATCCACGGGGACCCAGTCGACTGCGTCCTGGCCTCCAAGGGTGGCTGGAATCTTTTGCAGAGACTTGGATGTCTCAATCAAGGTCGGCAACCATTCTTTGTTTTTGTTTTTCTTTTCGTTAGTTATTCTCCGGATGTGTATGAAATTTTTAGTTAGACGACTACTTACCAGCTTTATTCCAAGCTCCAGTCCCATCCACGGGACCTCCTAACTGGCCCAGACGGAGAACAGTTGCTCTCAATCCCGATTTCCTCGCTGCCCGGAATAAAATAGAACTGGCGACGTGCTTGGATTTCCCGTATCCCCGTCTTAGTGGAAGACAGACATCGTCCTCGAATATTTCAGGAATAGGGCCATCGTCTCGAATGATATGCTGGTTCCCGACACTGGCAATAGAAGAAGAAAACATGATATGAGGACGATGCGTCGCGGACAATGCAAAGTCAATACATTGGCGTACCCCGATGATAGCGGTCGACTCGAAAGATTCTAGACTGTTGTTGAAGTTGATAGGCCAAGAATTGTGAAGAAAAACATTGGCATTTTCTTGAAGTTCCTGGTATTTGCTAGATGACAGACCGAATCGTCCCGGAGTTAGGTCTGTAGTGAGGAAATCAACCTTTTCGGCTAGGTCGTCCACATCAAATCCTCGGTCAAGTAGGCTCTTCCTTTGTCTGGATTCAGCATCTGCCGAGCGATTGAAACAATAAATACGTTCAAATAATGGGCTTTGTAACATATAGTGGAGAAGATATGTACCGAGGGAGCCCGTGGAACCAGTCAGGATTGCTTTGTATTTTCCAGATGGGGGTGGAATGCCAGTTACCGGGGCGGCGGGGAGCAATCTTGTGTACTTGTATATCATTGCTGACATCTTCTCTTCTCTCGACATCAAGGTTAGTGATACGTTAATAGCGTTATGGTCGTTGTGGGTGATTCTCTGCTGGATGGCTTGAGATAGTTGGTTTATGGTTGGGTTATTGTATATCAACCGTGGCGGGCAGAATTCTTGACTTGACAATTTCACACGGAAGACTCCTGATAGGATTTTGCTCATCTGCAGCACGCGCAAGGAATCAAACCCACCAACGAAGAAGTCATCATTATCCGTATATTCCCGGCTAGACGATGCTAGACACGTACGCAGTGTCGTTCTGAGTACAGACTTGATACTCGCGAGGTCGGTTGGACCGTCGATAATATCAGATTCGTGGCTCGAGAACTCGTCCTGTCGCTTGTATAGTTGTGCGATCTCCGACTCATACAGCTCGTAGGTGGCTTCGCGCATGATGGAACCTTTGGCGGAACGCTTGAAAGGCTTCTCGGGGGTCGCCACCATGGTCATGGAGTGCCACACCTTTGCATAAGCTGGACACCCAGCATTGGCCTTCTCCACCCACGACCAGATCTCGTCAGAGAAAGCTTCGTCGTCTGCTACCTTCCGATCCGCGTGTGGCTCTATGATCAAACCAGCCTGGAAAAGGAAATCATCGACACCATCAGCGTAGGAGCAAATAGTTCGTCATGCATATTGGAGCGGACATGGATGTGATGGTATCCACGGCCGCCAGGGCTCCGGTCCGGATGAAGATGGGGTTGGGCAGGCCTGTTGACCCGCTAGAGTGTAGGATAAGTGCAACATCATCCTCTCGAGGACGGCGGAAGTTGTAGTACGGTTTCGAGACGGGCTCGGGCTGCAAAATCTCATCCAGAGATGGAATCTCAACAGGGCTGAGCTCTGAATGGTGCACGGCCAAGGCTTGCATCTGAGGGGCGAATTCAGGCGTGTGGAGGAACTTCTTGCATCGTGTTGATTTGAGCAAAGACACTTGAGCATCTTGAGAGTTGTGGGGCGATGCTAGAAGAATCTTGTACCCCGTCTTCATTGCAGAGAGGATCATGATGGGATATCTGATATCGCTAATTCCCATATACCCCATAGTCTCGTTTTCTGCTGGGAGTCCATGTCGATCTTCCATCCAATGCAAAATGTAGTCAATAGCCCTGGCTAGTTGGGACCAGGTAATGTCACTCCAGGATAGAACTCCATTGTCTAATGCGCCAGCCTTCACCCAGAGACCGTCTGGTTGCTCAACAGCTAGACGGTCGACTACTTCGGTAAGAATCCTCATGTTGGTTATTTTGGTGGAAGTGAGAATGGGGAAAGGATATTTTACACATATAAATCTAGATAATATAGCCCCCAAAGGTCTCCTACATGAAAGACCATCGGATATTCTGGAAGAACAGCCATTGGGTCGGCGGCCGTGAAGTCGGCCCGGCCGTTACAGAAAGAGGCTGAGACATAACCCGACAAATTCCCCGTCGGCTCACATATGACTGGCTGCTCGGGGAGATCCCCGAGTCTAACTGAAGTTGAAATAGCTGAATTTGGCGATTATGCAGATTATGGCTATGATAGGACAACATGTGTCTAGTGGAACCTCCGAGGCAGAACAAAAGAACACAAGGACTAGATAAATCGATTTCTAGGGTCCCTGGAATCTGAAAGCATTTTCTTCCTGAAAGAACTTTCCTAAATTTTCTCTTTGTATTACACATATTCATATAGAAAGCTCATTGATCTACAAAGACCATTCAAAAATGCCGATCACTAGCGATATCACCCTCGAAACCTCCAAGTTCCAGCCGGAGAATGTTACGGAGGCAACAAAGCAAGCCGAAGCTCTCCTGGAAGGCATCACCAGCAAAGGGCCCCGATGGTGGGAGGTAGGTATCACAAAATATCGTGAGATGCGGGAACTTGGTCAGACGCCGCTGCCCATGCCCGTCCACCTCCCGGGGGCTACTGATAGCACTGTTCCTTCACGCGAGGCTGGTCGTGAGATCCCAATTCGTGTTTACAAGCCTGATAATGGCCAGCCCAGCAAAGGTGTCTTCCTGCACTTCCACGGTGGTGGTTTCGTGCTGGCAACGCACAAGGAGTGAGAATTAGCCCCCTTACCCCCCACCGATCCCTGCCCCGCTCCCTCCCCCAACGTAAATGCTAATGTTCTTGAACAGTTCCGATAGCAGCCTCCGGGCATACGCCAACGAGTGCCAGCTAACGGCCATTTCAGTGGGATACCGTTTGGCCCCCGAGCATCCCTACCCGGCGCCCGTACAAGATGCCATCGATGCCGCCGAGTACATGGTGGATCATGCGGCGGAGGTGTATGGCGGCCCCCTCCAATTTATCAGTGGAGAATCAGCGGGAGGCTGTCTGGCCACTCTATCAGCCTTACATCTAATGCGGTCACGGTCTTCTTTCAAATTGTCCGGTCTCATTCTGCCTTACAGCTTATTTGACCTAGGTCTCGGGCTTCCGACAATCGCATCTTCGACTAGGCCCCTGATGATCAATTTGGCAATCATGGAGCGGTTTAACAGCGCGTATGTGCCGGATATGAGCACTGCCGAACGCAAACATCCTTGTGTGTCCCCACTATACGAGGACCTCCCAGCATTGGTTGCCGCCTCCTCCGTAGGATCGTTGCCCCCCCGCTCTCTTCCTTTGTGGAACTCTGGATCCATTGCTTGACGATACTATCTTGATGAGTTCTAAGTGGAGCATTGCCGGTGGGGAGTCGATCGTCAAAATCTACCCTGGTGCGACTCATGGGTTCACTGCGTTTGCTGGTCTGCCGGTTGCTGAAGAGGCACGTGCGGTGAGCCTGGAGTTCATGCAGGAGAAATTGAATAACTCGGTGTGATGAACGAAAGTCCTAAATGTTTACGAGAGGAAGTCTACCACCAGGAAACCATCTAGCGGTGAAATAATTAAAATCTATATAAGTGAACGCATTGCCTGAAGGTCTCGCCTTGGATGTTGCCCGCAATTTATGTACATAACTTGTAATACGAGTACATCCGATACATCAATACATGTAAATATCGCACCAATTCTGTACATTTTACATCTCGATATTATACCACTCTATTTAATCCGTATGATAATAATTTACTGCATAGTTAGACATAAAAAGTGTAAAATTGTGTATCTAGTAAAAATTAGTGTAAATATTTGATCTTTAAGAACTACATATTCTAAGGTTGCTTGTATGGAGCTGGTAATAATTAAGGAAAGCCGGCGGTCAGCCAGGCGGTCAGAATTTACTGCTCGAAAATCCGATATGGCGCGGTTGGAGACTGCCACTAGGTAACCACATCCATAGGCCTCCGGAATCCGAACTTCTATGCCTTAACCCATCTGCTTCAGATGGGCGGCCGTATAGGGGCTGTGAAGTCTCGATCCGGGTGTAAAACCTGCAAGTAGGTTTCCGCAGCCGCTTTGAGAGTTAAGCTCTAACCGCCGACCAGAATCCGAAGAGTCAAATGTGGCGAGGAGAAGCCGAATTGCCTTCGCTGCTCTAGCACAGGACGGAAATGTGAATATGAGGGCAGAGGGGAAACTCTCCGGGCTCCCTCCACGCCATTTACTCTTACACTCGGACACAAACCGTCGTTGTCTCGAAATGCAGGACAACGAGAATGTCGCGCATTTGAATATTACTTCCAGCATGTATCCCAACATCTGGCAGGTGGAATGAATGTAGATTTCTGGACAGGGGTTGTTCCGCAGATCTCCCGCAGTGAGCCCGCAGTGTGGAATGCAGTCATTGCAATTAGCGCATTGTACGAAAATCCGAAGCAGTGCATGGACTTTCATTTTTTGAGGGATCGCCGAAACAAGGCACATTTGCTTAATCATGATCAGCAGGATGCATTGACATGGTACTCGCGATCAATATCTAGTGTTTCGTCGCAGATCCAACGAGGCAGCGCAGATCCGTACATTGCACTCATCAGCTGCGCGCTATTTATCTGCGTGGAGACAACCCAAGGACATATGGAGCAGGCCTTGGAGCTCTACCGACAGGGTATCACGTTGATACTCGACCTCCGTGCCCAAATCGGCCATGGAGCAGTATCTATCAGTAAAGGTGTTCTTTTGGAGCGCAGCATTGTTCCCTTATTCCTACGACTCGGCACAAGTTCCCTGACCATTTCGGGGACTCGGTTTCCTATTGAACTTTTTGCCTTTGTAGAAACAGACATGACCGCTGGTTTCGCATCTGTCGATGCTGCAAGATCGAATATGTCCATCCTAGCTGCGGAAGTTATCCTCTTTGAGCGCGAGGCGAACTTACACTTGAGGGAAGTTGGTGCCGAGCCCGCTGTAAGCCCAGAAATGGTCGCGAAAAAAGAAGCACTCCGAGTCCGTCTCGTTGAATGGCATCGAGCATACACGAATCTTTGCCAAAGAAAGAGATCCGTACCTACTCTCCCTATATACCCAGAGCCTATCCTGCTCACATATCATGCTACTGCTTTGATTTGTGTGACAGGATGCTTAAAGCAACAACAGACCGTTTTCGATGTCCATTTTGCAGACTTTGCTACTATCGTCGCGCAGTCTAGGTTGATCCTCGATGCCTCAACATGTCCAAATGGAGCCCAACCACCATTCACCTTCGAGATGAGCGTGGGTGTCCCTCTCGCCATGACTGTGTTGAGGTGTCGTGACCCAATCTTGCGGCGAAGGGCTTTGGACCTATTAAGACGAGCCCCTCCGATACAAGGATTTTTCAAATGCGTCCCCGTGGCTCTTTTGTCGGAAATGTTGATGAAGCTGGAAGAGGGCTATGACCTTACCGTGAGGGAGAGCACAGCCGCGCTTTCTCAAAAGGTTGAAACAACCACGTCACAAGCAGTACTCATCCCTGAAGAGGCTCGTATCCATGACTATGGTATCTTCAGACCGAATGAGTGGCAACCTCCGTGGATCACCAACGAAGATCTTGCAGCGTTTTCACTTAGCCCAACCCAACTATATTTGGGAGTTTCAAGGCGTCAATACGATAAGGAAAGCAGGACGTGGCGGCCGATTTGTCAATGCATACCGTTGGAGGCCAATTTTTGAATGATATTTTATGTCTTTCATCTGTTATCCGTGGATGTTCATGTGTATCAAATAGATATCTTCTTTTTCTTTTTATATACATCAATACATCCCTACGTAATCACCATAGGAGCCCAGAGACCTGGTTCCAAGTTTCTTAAGGTTCCACGGTCCTTCTGAAGTCAACCTTGGAAAGCTTGGTAGGTCACTTTGGAAATTCACGCGCCTGCATATGGCCTGGATAAATGGGTCAGAGAACAAAGAGAGCAATAAAAACGGGTTACATTTCCCTGATCATGACCTGTGTACAGAGCTTCTAGAGGGTTAGCCGAGTAAACAGCCGATATGCCTTAGTAACGGCAAAGGTGTTCCAATCCGTGGAGCAGATCATGGAGTAGATCGTGGCTAGGGTGATTCAGGGGTTGTGTTTTTTACTGTGGCGATACCATAATAAATAATGCTGTGCCAATAGCTGCGGTTGTTCCTGCTCTCAGCCTTCAGTTGAGAGGTTATGAGCCTTCTTTCTTTCTACTGAGACTCTATTAGACGATTATATTGATTGTTATTTAATGGAATTTATGGAATTTATGGAATTGACAGTGATTTCACGATCTACAATCTTCACATGCTCTGGCACATGCTCTAGCACATGACCCCCAAATTGCTACTAAGCCTGCCTATTCGGGAAGGATAGGTTGTTTGTCTTGTTTGCCTTACATAGATCCCCCAGGATCTCTCTCCCCCTCTCTCTCTCTCTCTTCTTTCCTATCTTTGCTTTTTTTAGCTGGAACGCACCGTTTCTTCATTGATTGACCTGGCACGTAACCAGTGACACTATTTGGTGGATACCATCTAGGGCAGTGGCGCCAGTACTTGCGGGTTTAACACCTGCAGTTTCTGTGCGAAACAGCCTCAATTTGATACAACTAGATTCTGTGTTGAGTCTTCCGAATTTGGCCCTTTGACGATATGACTCCTTGACCTGTTCGCGCCGTCCGCTCAGAGCTGTCACGATCGACAATTATCACATGCTATCACATGTCAAGATCGTTCTTATCTTTCTTTGTTTGCTTGCTTTCTTTGTTCTTATCTTCCTTTGTTTGATGGAGTGCTACTATGCCTAATTGGGCATGCCTACTAAGCCTATTTGGGAAAGAGGATTGTTTTCTTTGTTTCTTTGTTTGCAGAGATCCAGCTATATCAACCCCTCTGGATTCTCTCTCTGCACTTCTTCTTCTTTTCTCCCCATCTTTGCTTTTCTAGTTGAATGCACTCTTTCTCACAAAGACCTGGCTCGTAACAAGAGCTACCCTTTACTCGCTCTCGACTATATTCCTAGACACGTTCTCGAAGACACCCTGTTTGACTTGACTACTCGCTCTTGTCCACTCGAACCAACCTCGAACCTGAATTTAACCTCACTCGCGATTGTACCCTGCTTGAGAATAGATTCTCGCGAGAGAATCCTCGGATTCCAGTCGGCTAGGGTGCTCTTTCGCTAGGATACCCTCTTCTACCGCAACTACCTCCTCGAGCAGCTGAACGGCCTCGCCGATATAGCCGTTAGCTTGGTATGCCCCCTTGGTATGCCCCCGCGAGCGCATACCGGGACGCTAGACGGGTAGGGTGCTCTTTCGCTAGGATACCCTCTTCTACCGCAACTACCTCCTCGAGCAGCTGTACGGCCTCGCCGATCTGGCCGTTAGCTTGGTATGCCCGCGCGAGCGTATACCGGGACGCTAGACGGGTAGGGTGCTCTTTCGCTAGGATACCCTCTCGTACCGCAACCACCTCCTCGAGCAGCTGTACGGCCTCGCCGATCTGGCCGTTAGCTTGGTATGCCCGCGCGAGCTCATGCCGGGACGCTAGACGGTTAGGGTGCTCTTTCGCTAGGATACCCTCTTCTACCGCAACCACCTCCTCGAGTAGCTGCACGGCCTCGCCGATCTGGCCGTTAGCTTGGTATGCCCGCGCGAGCGCATGCCGGGACGCTAGACGGTCAGGGTGCTCTTTCGCTAGGATACCCTCTCGCACCGCAACTACCTCCTCGAGGAGCTGAACGGCCTCGCCGATCTGGCCGTTAGCTTGGTATACCCCCGCGAGCTCATGCCGGGACGCTAGTCGGCTAGGGTGCTCTTTCGCTAGGATACCCTCTTGTACCGTAACTACCTCCTCGAGTAGCTGTACGGCCTCGCCGATCTGGCCGTTAGCTTGGTATGCCCCCCGCGAGCGCATGCCGGGACGCTAGACGGTCAGGGTGCTCTTTCGCTAGGATACCCTCTTGCACCGCAACTACCTCCTCAAGGAGCTGAACGGCCTCGCCGATCTGGCCGTTAGCTTGGTATGCCCCCCGCGAGCACATGCCGGGACGCTAGTCGGCTAGGGTGCTCTTTCGCTAGGATACCCTCTTGTACCGTAACTACCTCCTCGAGGAGCTGCACGGCCTCGCCGATCTGGCCGTTAGCTTGGTATGCCCCCGCGAGCGCATGCCGGGACGCTAGACGGGCAGGGTGCTCTTTCGCTAGGATACCCTCTTGTACCGCAACTACCTCCTCGAGGAGCTGTACGGCCTCGCCGATCTGGCCGTTAGCTTGGTATACCCCCGCGAGCACATGCCGGGACGCTAGACGGGCAGGGTGCTCTTTCGCTAGAATACCCTCTTGTACCGTAACTACCTCCTCGAGGAGCTGCACGGCCTCGCCGATCCGGCCGTTAGCTTGGTATGCCCCCGCGAGCTCATGCCGGGACGCTAGACGGGCAGGGTGCTCTTTCGCTAGAATACCCTCTTGTACCGCAACTACCTCCTCGAGGAGCTGTACGGCCTCGCCGATCTGGCCGTTAGCTTGGTATGCCCGCGCGAGCTCATGCCGGGACGCTAGACGGGCAGGGTGCTCTTGTTCGAGCTGCCTTTCCCCCAACTATCTTTTTCCTTTAGCCAAAAAACTGCCTCCCTAGCCCGACCGTCGGCCATAAGACACTCTGAAACTTTCTCAAGTAGTTTGTGGCTTTTATTTGAGCCATTGGGATCGGCACTTTTGAGCAGAATTAGGGCATGAGGCATATATGCGCTCCATACACCACGGTTCCTATAATCGTCGTCAGGAAAGACACTCTCTATCCTTGTGACGGTTTTGATGGCCCAATCTGATAATTTGCCATCTCTCTTTAGCCAGTTGCGCATCGCAAGATGGACAAGCCGGTGGAGGTCGAAAATCTCATTTCCAGCCCTGTCGCTCACGAATGAGTACGCCTTTAAGACCCCGACGGCTTCCATCCATTCCTTTTTGGATTCTGCTTGCGGCAAAAGCGACTTTGGGATTCCCATCGGCTCTATACAGGCCATGAACGACAAAATTTCAGCCGCTAATGATGAGGCACTCTGTATTCGCTCGAAGGATATAAGCCATGTTGTGGCCACAGGATTCTTTGTCTCCCAAGTTCGCCAATCATCATGAAAATCCTCGCTTAACAGATCAATCACATCGCTCTCTTGTTCCGACAACAGCGATAGATAGTCCGACAATGCAGCTAAGGAGTTCTCGTTGATATAAGAAGCAGCCTGCACAATAGCCAGAGGGAGAAAAGTCAGCTGCCTGAGAAGCAAGTCCGTTGCATTGACATCTCGCAACAGTCGTGGGTCACTCAAGCGCTTGCTTAGAAGTTCCCTTGCTATCACCTTGTCCATATTCGGGATTTCGATCACATTTCCCATTGCAATTTTCGAGGCGACCTTCATGAAGCGCGTGGTGAAAAGCACGCTGCCCATACTGTTCCATGGGACATAGCTGTGTAATCCCCGCGGATCAGTATTGCTTGTGCTTTTGTCAAACCACATGTCAATGTCATCGGCATTGTCATATATCAGCAGCCACTGTCCAGCCTTTCTGTCATTTAGGTAATCCCGAAGAAGCGTCTTAGCATCTGCTCGGTTGTCTTCCAGTCCTGGCAATCGTAGTTTTTGGGCAATTTGAAGGTATGTCCGTTCCAGGGCTTCTGAGCTTGTTGCTGGAATCCAAAAAATAGAGCATTCTCGTTCCCTCGCTTGCGCTCGGTATGCAATTTCTATTGCAACCTGTGTTTTGCCAATACCACCAAGTCCGGTGATAGCGACCTTGCGTTGTTGGTTTGAGGAGAACAGCAGTTCCTCGAGCTCAGCAAGCTGACCACCACGGCCAACAAAACCTGCATTCCTTGGGAAGGGAACATTATTGAAGGCAGTGCCGAAGACTACTAACTTATTAGCCTGGTCCACCTGGTTCTTATTTTAGGGGAAGATTTCTCACAATCTGCCGGCTTCCTGGAGCGGACGTTGTCCTCAAATTCCTAATCTCAGTGAGCTCAGTGGTTACCAGCCAGGGCTTTCTCTTTCTTACTTGGATTTCTTTAGCAAGCGTGGGCTCTCGATCGTTTGAACGTGTATCATCTGAACTCATATCAGCTCCAATTCAGTATCGGCTATGTCTAAGAGAAGTCTTCAATATACACACATTCTTTCTGCTTCAAATTCTGTACGCAATCTCGCACCCGAACCCTCTGGTTCTGGTGCCGAATATACTCATCAGTGGCTGCCTCAATCAAGCCCTGTGCCGAATACTCGGCTAGGTCAATCCCCTGGAGCCCTTGCTCCACGTTAAAGCGAAAGAAACGGCTTTCCTCAACTTGTTTAGCCCAACGAGCAATAAATTTCCGTTCAGTTTGTTCTGTTTCGGTAGAGATACCCACGAGAGTTTGAATAAAGAACTTCAAAACTTTGTCGTCTTTAATCTCTTTCTTGCCGGGGTTTCCGGTTCCGATGGAAATGAAGCACTTGACAAGAGGTTTCAACTGTCTAGTGTCAGGGCACCAAATATCGGCTGCCTCACCCTCCACTTCCTCGACTGGGTTATTTGCACCTAATGCTCCATCCACAAACAGACGTTTCCCGATTGACACAGACTTGAAGAATCCTGTCGCGGCCGAGGTCGCTAGAGCAGCTTCGCAAATTGTCGCATGGATATCAAGTCCTTCTGATGAATAACTTCGTAATCGCGTAACCCCGGTCGTTTCTTTAGCGGTAGCACAGACAAACCTTTTCCGATATTAGATATTAGGTGCTACTTTTAGATCCATTACTCACACTTTACATCCACCTTCTTTCCCATCATGAAGTAATCCCGTCTCACTGCCATCATGATGCTCGACGACTTTTGTGATTGCATCCCTCAGCTTCCCTGAGTCGAATTTTGGCTTGATCTTTCCGGTAAAACTGAAACGTAGTGAATTCAGTGTATGTTCGAAGATGGTACGCATAAGGTCTACGTATGCGGTAATGCATTCATCCACGTCCATTTCCAGACGGCCAAGCATAATGGCGATAAGGCTACTTACATTAGTTCGGGTAAAGATCGCAAAGACAAAGAATGCTATACGAACCCGCCTGTGCTTGTCCCACCGATCAAATCAAAGATCTCACACGGCTTCACCGCGGGCAAGTTCGATTGTTGGCGTTGACGATTCACTCCGGCCATGATATTCTTCAGGATAAAGAGAGTCGATAAGCCCCGCACACCACCCCCATCCAGTGACAAGAGACATAGGCCTTTAGTGTCGATCGGGTGTGGCTCACTACCAGTCTCTGTTGCTTGAGATTGCATTGTCGCTTGAGTAGCTTAAGAGAATAGAAAGAATTCCTCAAAATTGACTGAGAGGGTTGCAAATGCCAGTAGGTCGGTATGCTAATGTCAACTTTAATGGTCACGTTCAGGCTGCTGTCAGCTGAAGTTCGCTATAAATAGGCTAAGCATTTTTGCTAAGCGCCTTAGCAGCCTAATGGAATGTCTCCCAACGACACCAGTTTTGGGCGATCAATCAGAGCCCCTGGCGCTATGGCCAACTCCGCCTCATGAATGACACATCACAAGTGCAGAAGTCAGACTCGGTTAAAATATCATGTACAACATACGGAGTACAAAGAACATCAATAAACAGTTTTGTCGGCAATGAATGCCAATAGAACTAAAGTCCCCATTTACGTGAACTGGAGGTCGATGGGCAGTACCTCTGAGGAGACATGAAAGCAACCTATGTCAGAGATTTGCAGCATTCTAACTGATTTTGACCAGCGTGGAGGTTGATCCGATTGGGGGTTTGTATGATCTCGTCGTTGTAGCTTAGCTATGACTAGTACTAAGGCCACGAATGGACTAGCGTTGCCTTACGTAGCTACCGTGGTAGCGGGCAAAGGTGGTGTAGTGGCTACTCTCCTCGTGGCGTTTAGGGCTGTTACGTCCACGTTATATCACAGGTCATTCCTGTCTCTTCGATTGTGGCCTTTGATGGCTATATTTTCGCACTACGTTAATAAAAACCTGAGATTTATAGTCGATCACGTGACATACTAATACAAAGCGGTAATAAGTACTGTGTACCTTGATGTACACTGGTAACAGTATTGTACAGGATGTACTGTGACACCGGATCTCGGGATCCATGGATGGCCACTGATCCGATTATCTAAAGTTAACCCGCACCTGCCACCTGCAGATAGCGGTTCCCCAACACCGAGCTTCATTATTATTTACCCTACTGTGTCCCCCTCATTTACCGAGTTTCCTACCTGTGGGCTACTGTGTAATGGAAGATGCAGCCGAGTCCATACCCCCGATAAACCTGACCGACCCTGACCCTATCCCGACCGTAACCGTAATGGAGAGCCCGGATGTCTCAAGCTCGGAAGAGCACACACCTAGCGATACAGCAGATCTGCCCCATCTCGTCATCCAGTTGATCCAGTGCCGGCATTGTTCCCGCCCTTTGCAAACTCCGCTCCGCTTACCATGCGGAAATTCGGTCTGTCGGGAATGTTTACCCGCCTTTCGGCCGCGGACAGGCATCACTTACCCCGTGGCTGAAGGGAGGGACCAGGAATTTACATGCTTTTGGAAAGGGAACAAGACGTGTGTCGGGAATCATTGTGTGGGAGATTGTGGCGCTGATGTGTTGCTTGGGAAGCTGGCTGGTCTTTTTGGAGAAATACTGGGGTCAGAGGCAAACGATGTGCCTCGGGATTGGTCTGAAGATGACGGGCCCTTACTGCGGTGGAAAGCCGATGGGCGGAATCAGAATGGAAGTGGGCAGTTGCAGCGGCATGGGTGGCTACAGGGGATCTATAACATGGCACTAGAAGGCCGGTTCCCATCTGATGCATGCGAGGTCATCTATGGGGATTCTCCAATCTCAGGCGGAAGCACAGAAGTGCAGGATCTCATTCACTTCCAAACACTGCGAGACAGTCTCCGCGCCGAGTTAGATTGCCAGGTTTGTTATGCGCTCGTTCTAGATCCGATGACCACTCCTTGTGGCCATACCTTCTGCCGAAAATGTGTCGCGCGGGTCTTAGACCATACCGATCTGTGCCCCATTTGTCGCCGAAAGATAGGCATGACGAGTGATATACATTCAGAGCCCATAAATCAGACTGTGGCACGGCTGATCAACTACTTCTTCCCTGACCAGATCGCAGCCAGGCGGGAGACCAGCGCCCAGGATGAGACAGGCCCGGATGACGAGAAGAACTTGCCACTTTTTGTGTGCACGCTATCATTCCCAACAATGCCGACTTTCCTGCATGTCTTCGAGCCCAGATACCGACTTATGATTCGTCGAGTTCTCGCAAACGGAAATGGAAAGTTCGGCATGGTTATGTACAACCGACAAGCCCGAGCACTGCCAGGCCAGCTGGGTGACGTACCGTTCGTGCAATACGGAACGCTCCTGATGATTGAGAGATATGAGCTGCTTCCGGATGGTCGCAGTCTTGTGGTGGCTACAGGTGTGTCGCGATTCAAGATCGTCGACTCGGGGATACTGGATGGCTATTATGTTGCCAAAATAGAGCGCATAGATGATATCTCGCTCGCAGAGGAGGAGCGGCTTGAGTCGCTGGAGACATCAATAGATAGTGTCAATGCTCTGCCCGAAGCGAATGAATCTAATCCCCCGTTAGACTCAATGCCAACTCAGCAATTACTTCTCTCGGCAAGAGAGTTCATCAGCAATCAACGCAGATCCGGGGCTCCTTGGCTGCACCCGCGCGTCATGCTAGCATATGGACCCATCCCCATAGATGCAGCTCGCTTCCCGTGGTGGTTTGCAAGCATTTTACCCATCTCTGAAGAAGAGAAATATCCGATACTCGCCGCCACAAGTGTTCGAGAGAGACTGAAGATTTCAGCAAAATGGGCGAGACAACTCGAGGCTCGAGACTGGTAGGTTGAATATCCATTCTCCCCGTTGAATAGTATTCTAATATTCTTCGAACAGGTCTACTCGCTCATCGCTGTACTCTGTCTTGTGACTATCCGTCCCTCTTCTCATCTTCTGCATCATCCCTCTATTATTGAGGCCCCTGTCAGGGCTATTCGCCTCGATATCGCCGAATGCATTGATGTCAGTGGCACCATTTTATTTCTCGGTCTCGGTGTCAATTAGGCGCTCGGGGGATTCGTTTCCCGGTGTTAGCTCGCAAATACCCAACGAACATGATCAAACTCTCGACATCAGCCAACAAGAACAGAGCCATGAAACCTATATCTCTCAGGGATTTGTCATTGGGGCCTTTCTGGTGATCTTCGTCGCCCAGGTTGGGGTTAATTTCCTGCGTGCTGTTCGAACCGGAAGACGCAGACGACGGTTTCTAGAAATGCAGTTTCCGCAACCCTTGCCCCAGCGGGATAGGGAGCAAGACCGTGGCTTGAATAGAGAGCCTAGGCCCATCACGAATACTACAGAGGAAAGTACACGAGATGATTCGGAGGGACGCCCCGTCACAGGAAACGCTCCTGATGTTGGATAGTGGGATCCAACATGTCTGATATCCAAAATTTACCCCGATTTGGTACTGCTACCCCACAAACAATATACCCTCTTTTAACGAAGCTTTACGATATTCCATGCCTTCTGTTCCCCTTTCTTTTCATCATTATCTGGCACTTTATCCAAAAATGTTGTACATATAAGCCTTTGAGGCTCGGCATATTGATATCCATATCTTCTTGCACCTTGGTATCTAGATTGCCCACGAAGCCTTGTGTTAGGAACCCATTTTACTACAGCATAGGTTCACGGGTCCCAAAGCAACCCTCTATAATATATCCGGGGTGACCACACTCTTTCGAGACTCTCTTTATCCCAGGGGGCTTCGGCGTGATGCCATTGGTCTGCGACCCGATGCTAGTAGCTGCGCTAGAAGCGTCGTAAACCCCTTGCGGTTCAAACTGCCACCCGACGGCTCCCGGATGGGTGAGCCGTGTATTGGGGCCGGATAGTGGAGCATATCAAGTCCAAGGTTGGGCTTTACCGGGAACCATGGAAAGCCCCGGGCTCTATATCACCTTTCAGGTACCTAGGTATGATTCTTCTCCTGATATTTCTATGCGTATAATGCGTATAATTCGTATAATGTGTATAATTTGAATAATAATGTGTTGTACAAAATCCCAGAATGCCACCAGCATGAATAGTTAATATGCCGTGAGAGCCAGCTATCTCTTTGCATTTTTGACTGGGTGTAAGAACATTGGAGGTAGGCAAAGCGGACGACGATGCCCATGCTTTTCGTAGTGTCAGCAAATATCAACGGGTAAAGCCAATGCACCAGCGTCGCAACTCACTTCCTCTTCACCGTCATAACCTAACCAGGCTCGATAAATCCTCTCGGGAAGTTCCGACCCAAACATATAAGACATTTTCATGACAATATCATTGTGCTGATTCCAGTTCCAGATACTATTCCGCCCAGCGCTAATTTTACCAGGCTTTCCGGCATTAGCTCGGAGATTGAGCTCAACAGGATTTGTTTCGTGCGCATGGTAAATGGGCTGAGGAACCTGAACTGCTTTCAGCCCATAATAAAGAGCCCAGGATGCGGGAGACATTTCAGATGCCAGCCCAACACCTTGCTCAGTCTTGTCCTTATGCATAAGCCGGAGTAATCGTGCTGAGACACGGGACATTGCGACAACGGATGCCCGGCGCGGAGTACGTCCCTTCTGGCGAAAATTAAACACCCGGTCAGCAAAGGGCCATTTGGTGTGCTGAGGGTCAAATTGAGGCAACCAGGTGATCACGTCGGCTTCCTCACCCACGCCCCAGCTCCAAGCATCATCATCCAGGTCTGCGCGCAGTGGCTCTGGTGCTTCATCCCCGACCTCGATACCCTTTGCTGGATGTGGTCCCCAGATGCTATTAACGCCGGTCATGCTCTGATCTACCTGATCGGTGAAATTATCCCAGCTGCCGTGGACGGCGGGGATGTAGAAGTAAGAGTTGCGCTCCCATAGGTTCTTGCGAGGCTGTTGTTTTGCAAATTCTGTTGCTTGTTGGAGGAAGTTATAGAAATGTCCCGTATAACGTGAATCCATTTCAAACTGCCAGAAAAAATCGTATTGTGGATTCAATAACGAGAAAATCTGCATCGGCTGGAAATATTGAAGTATGGCTCTGGGAAAGTATTAACATCTCGAAATTTGACAGCTGTAGAGCGAATATGAATAGAAAGCTATCTTACTCGTGAACATCAATCTTCGGGTACCAGTCCTTTAGTATCTCCGCATTGAAGAACACCGCCAGATCCTGGAGCTCCGGCGGAAGAGACTTTTTCAGATTGTCCAAGCCCGCCTTGTCCGTTGGATGAGGCAGTTCGGTATCTTTGGCGTCAACCAAGAGGATTACCTCATACTCTGCGCCGGATAAGAGCGATAGTTCCATTATAATCGACCGGATGTAATAAAGAGCATCTTCCGTGTATTCCATGTCGAGCCATGTGCGCAGAATTACCGCTGTCCGTGTTTTGAAGCTAGCAGAGGTATTGTTTCGATCTGTCTCGGTCTTCTCTCTCCAATGATGTTCATCTCTTCGTTTGTCTTGGTTTCTGTGCAAAGTCGATGTCTTTTCGCGAACATCCGAAGGTTGATACCGGTCTGCATTGCGCTGCAAGCAGTCTTGCTGCAAAGTGGCCCAATTCACATCCTGCCACTGCCCTTTGTCGCCTGTCTCTGTATAGCCATACGCCGCATATCGAGAATTCCGGTCGGCGCAAATACTTCGATTGAGGTTCCACGCCTCGTACGATCCAAATATCGGCGCTGGGAAATCTAGAATCCTATCAGTGGTGAACTAAAACACGCCAGTGTAGGCTTGGCTCAATATCAAACCTGACTGATTCCAACGAAATCCTTTCATCGCTGTTTCCGCGTTCCTACGATCCAGGACTGAACCATTCGCGCCAACACATTGCTGATAAGTTCCTCTCCACCTGTTTTTCCATACAACACTGTTATATTCGGGATATGGATCGTAAGGTATGGATGGTGACTCGTGTGAAGTTGCCAAGACAAGCTGACCGAGACCATTCCCATCATCAGCGGCGCCCGAGCCTAGAAAAAAGGCATTCTTTCTACTGCAAAAAGATGAACGTATTAGCGACCGGACAGAGTTTCGCTGTATCCTGCTATGATTGGATGTCTCAAGATATTAGCCCACGCGGCGAAATAAAGTACCTTGAAGCATGGACTACTATAGCTTGCTCTCTTGACCGAGGTATGAGCATGAAAATTGTAAATGCAAGGACGAGAGCGATCGTAATGAGGCTTCGCTTTAAAGAAGTCCGCAATACATGTCGGCATCTCAGTATAAGGTAGTCAATAGCGTGCATTTTTGGGGTAGGACGTGGTTTATAAGTTATTTAGGAAGTGTTCGGCCTCATGGTCGTTGGTAGTGCATTAACAATGCAGCAGATGATGAAAGGAAAAGGAAAAGGAAAAGGAAAAGGAAAGGAAAAGGAGAATAGTCTGCACCACGAAATCTCGCGTAAAGATCTTAGTACTAGAACTGCATCCTTGGCCGGGGGCCAAAATATGGGCCAACATATCGGCTGCAGGAGAAGTTTAGTTTAGTTCATGATATACAACCAAGCCCAATCATTTGCTACTCCTTTGCTAATTATATGTATGCCTTTTCTCGAACTGAACACACAAAATATGAAAACAAACTAAAATACGAAAGAGCACACGCTAGTATATACTAGTATCTATAGATTGAGCCCCGACCTCTTTATATGCACATACAGCACTTAACAAGTTCCCTTTTTATATTAACTAGCTAGCTCAGTAGGTATTGAAGGTGAAAAGTACCATATGAATTAATTATCAGAAGCGATTGAAGTCCGAAGGTGTCCGAATAAAAAATATAAAAGTGTCGCTATTCCCAGCTCCACCCCCGAGGCTCCCGAGGTCTATACACGGATTACGTAATCTCATGTGTTTGTCCGCGTCTTCTTCTTCGATCGAATCCCGAACAGCCAACAGCGCGCCATGAGCTTAATGAGATGGGAAAAAAAGATGTCGACCAATCAATCCTATACTTAAACCTATTTGATACTCATCAAGAGCCCAAACAGCACCAACGCAGCCATGACGTCGCTCGCATTATCGCTAGGCCCGCCAGCCTTAGTCCAGCTCCACGACGCCTTAATATGTCTATCCAAATTCAGCGAAACTGTTGCCGTCGAAGCAGAGCCTGATATTGTAAGTTATTTCACCTACGGGGCGAGCAGTTTAGTCCAAAATTCTGGAACCCGCCAAATGAAGCATTCGGGCTAACTGTACCCAGCTCCGCCTCAGTGCGCTCAATTCCACCAAGACAGGGTTTGCCTCCTTCGCGTTCGAGAAGGGGGTATTCTTTGAGGCGTATTCATTCAACACCAGCAGTAATGGCAGGAGTGGCAGTATTTCGCTCGACCGGTTCTTCTGCCAGATCTACATCAAAGTGAGTACATAGACCTTTTCCCTCTTGGATTTGTATTCTACACGATGTTTACCAGTGGATCATCTTCGTTACTTTATGCTAATATCAAATTCAGGCGCTTCTCTCCATATTCCGCGGGAGAATTGACAAAAACAAGGATACAGCCGTTGAACGCTGTGATATGGAATTGCATGAAGATCTACAGCAAACCGAGTGTAGACTGACAGTGAAGATGATCTGTGGACTAGGTAAGATAAACCCTTGCATAGATCTGTCTTTCCTAGCTTAGGTTGCATAGCTCTGACACTATATCTAGGCGTGATCAAGTCATACAAGCTGACCTATGAACCAGCGGCAATTCAGCATGCCGTCTTCGACAAATCCAAAGCTACCAGCATGTGGACTGCTGATCCACGGTTCCTCAAGCAGCTCATTGAGCACTTTAGCTTATCTGCCGAGCAGCTGGACATGTACTCCGATTCCGGAAGAGCGGTTTTCACAAGCTTTACAACAAAAATCACCGAGGGCAAGGGTATGTCGAGTTCACCTCCATCGTGTCTCAAAGTCCTAGTTAACTAACACCCAAACAGAGGTGCTAAAACATCCAGTCCACACATCCGTAGCAGCAGACAAGCGCGATTTTCAAGAGTACTTGGTTGAAGAGAACATGCACGTTGCGATCAACCTGAAAGACTTCAAAGCCGTCGTTGCACACGCCGAAACGGCAAACGCCACCGTAACAGCACGGTACACCCGACCCTGCAAACCTCTGCAACTGGAATACCGATTTGAAGGTGTCAACGCAGAATTCACAGTCATGACCCGCGGCCAGGCAGATCTTGATGACGCCCCCTCGTCAACACGAGCGACAATCCCACGGCGAACGCCTGCGCCTATCCCAGTCTCAGCGAGCAAGCCCCGCGATACTCGCCCATCGGTAACACCAAGTACGCAGATGCCCCCGCCGCCACCACGAAGCAGATCGATCCGTCCTCTCAATGGATCATCTACGCAGGAGAATCTAAGCCAGAAGGCTAGCGCAGATCGACCGGCGGCGTCTGGGCTTTCGATGGATTTCGATAGCCTTTTCGTACCTGCTGATGATGATCGGCAGTGGGATGAGATGAATGAAGAAGAGGAGCCGCAGGATATTCTTGGATGGGATGCATCGGGAACACAGGTATGTGGTTTTTTTTCTTTTTCTTCACTGGTTGGTATAGTGTATGGCTAACCAAACGCCTAGGACGCATTCGGGGCATCTATTCGTGACGCAGAGCCGTCCTTCCCGAAGCAGCATGATTCCCACGCCGAAGATCCAGACGATGAAATGGGGATTCCGCCGACACAGCGCTTGTCTCAGGTTTGTGAATTCCTGTTGTTGCGAGACTTTGATATGCGTATGCTGATAGTTAATAGGTTCGGCAATATGGCCTTTTCGACTGAAAAAGATACGTCTTGCCAGGGGCAATGCAGTTGTCAGCAACTCTCGCCGCTCCCTGATCCTAAAGGCGATCATGTAACAACCATCCAGCTAGTCGCACACCCTGCTCCAACCCCGACAACCCTCCCATCCACACCCACAGCTTCGGGGAGCGAAATCACATTATATGTACCCGATACATTCCCCTGGGAATCTGTATCAGGCCCACAATTCCCATGCTCGCCCCATCCAAACGCCGCAACTCGACCATCTCCCAGAAGAGCAATGGCATGCTCACTACCAACAGCGAGTTTAGCAGGAGTCGGAAGATCCGGTGGTGGAAGTTGGCCGCGATCATTGCGTCCCCAAGCCACAATGGAACCACCGACATGATCAAAATCAGAATATGCGTCTGTCTGTGCATCCGATATCGACGGCTCCGCCCGTCCCAGCCCAGGCGCAGCATGTACATAAACCCCATGCCAACTAGCCGCAATACCAGTATAGCGATAACAAATAGCACCTCTGCGCCCTCCACACTCCTCCCCTTGCTCATCCCCCTGTAATGATAAACTCTCCGGAACACCCAATATACCCCACCGATTTCCCCCATCCCCAAGAACAACAAACCGTCCCCGACCCGAAACAACCGTAAACTCCCTCCCACAAGCAACAGCCTGCGCGAAAAACGGCACACGAATATGCACAGGAGAATAAGCAATCCTAGCCCCTCGATTCTCTTCCCCGAGTTGTCCTTTCCGGGCCGCGCCCCAGCCATACACATCCCCATTCGAGAGCACAGTAGCCGAATGTGCCATCCCGCTCGCCAGCGCCGTGATCCGCAACCCCGTTGGCGGGAAGGAGGGGATACATGTCCCGGGGACGGGGGCGGGGTTGTCTGGGCCCAGACCTAGTTCTCCTTTAGGCGAGGATCCGAATACGAAGACTCGATCTTCTGTGTCGGGATCGTGTCCATGGACGACGTCGTTACTGTTTCTTTGTGGCACGGAAGCTACAGCAATCGTGCCCTCCCACGTCGCGGAGACATGTTTGAACTTGGATACCTCAGTGTCGGAGACTGGGTTTGGAAGAATCATTCGACGAAAGCGCAGGATATTTCCTTTGTTGTCGGACTCGGGCTCTTTTGGGTTTTCGGTTGCTTTGTGCGGCCCGCACCGTCCGTCTTCATTACAGCCGGCGGCGTAGATGGAGCCGCTGGTTGTTAGGAGGAGGGTGTGGTTTCCGCCTGCTGCGATGGTGCTGATTTCAGATTCATCTGCAAGGTTGGTGTTTTGAATGGTGGTTATTTGGGATCCTTGTGATGCCTCTGGCTGCTCGAAGAGACATTGCGTTGGTGTGGAGACGTCTTCTTCGTGGCCGATGCCTAGTTGGCCTGACCCGTTGGAGCCGAAGGCGAAGAGTCTCATGATTCTCTCTTGTTTATTTTTTCTTTTCTTTGGTTTATTTCTGTTTGGGGTATCATCGAATCTGACTAAGGGTGCGGTTCATCCATACACATCGATGTCCAAGTCCACCCGTGGACGAAAATATGACGTTAGTCATCCTTTCTGCCTCAGGCAAGAGTTTCAAATTTCAGTCTCTTCCAAAGTTGGTAACTATGACTCTAAATTTGATGGATGGTCATAAAAATGATATGTGTAGTAATTTGCCCAAATAAGTGGTATCAATATCTAGTTAATTAATCGAGGGGCCCGCTTCATGTGTCAAGCAAAAGCCGTGCAAGCTGCATGAAGGTTTCCAAAAGCAACGTGGCGTTAATGCATGATAAGTTCTATGAAAAAAAAGGAAATTTTGAACAAAGGGGGAATTATTGATAGCTATTTCTATAAAGTTTCATGGCCACATCACAGGTAATAACCTGAGGACCGAGCAAAGTACCGGCTTACCGCTTCTCGTTGGAGTAAACTTCCTCAGACTCGCTCTCTGCAGCGGGAGGCAGGGTGAAGGTATCCTGCTTGGCAGACACATTCTTCTCCATGCCCTTGAACATAGGACTGGTGCGGTGGAAGTACGTGTGAACGTGGCCCTCGAGAAGTGAGTCATCGGTATCCAGAGCATCGGCAGCATCCTTCTCGGCAGCCTTGGCGGCCATGGCGGTCTCCCACTCGATGCGGTACTCCTCGACCTTCTGTTGGTAGTCGAGTTCGGCATTGTAGTAGCGGGACTTGCGCAGGACGTAGCGCTCATACCATGACAGGTGCTTGGGGTGGACGGCAGGACCGTGATACTCTTCCTCGCGACCACTGCGGAGGTATTGCCAGCGGCGCTCTTGCTCCTTCAAGTCCAGACCAGTGGTGTCAGGAAGGAAGAAGGCGGTAATGATAGCACCGGCCAGACCGAACCAAGGCACAACATAGAACTTGGTCTGGGTATCGATGTAGTTGTACAGGACGGCAGCGAGAAGAGCACCGGCCTTACCCCAGGCAGCGGACATACCGTGAGCGGAGGCACGAATGGGTGTTGGGAAC